GGCACAGCAGATTGCCCAATATACCTTTTACTCTAAAACAAATAAACAATCTTTTCTTATTGATCCAAAATGTGATGTACATTTAACACCTCTTCTGACTGATCCACCAGTTTCTTAATGAACAATTAGCAAGATTATTCCAGCCTATAATGTTTAAAGGGTTTATTATTTCATAGGGAATGGCCACCAATTATGGTGTTCCTCTTGGAATTTTTGGAGGATTATCCATTGTAGCAGGACTCTTAATTCTGCATTTACCGTAAACCAAAAACAAACCATTACCTGACACTCTAGAACAAGGCGAGAAGTTTGGGAAGTACGTTTTGTTATTGTTTAATTTATTGTGCATTAGAAGTTCCAAAATATCATTAACTATTTAAATATTAACTAAAAAGAGTATTTTCTAATTATTCAGTATCTTTAGATTACCGATGTTTAGGGCAGTTGCAAAGTTTGACCCCTGCTACTATAATTTTGACAGGAACTCATTTCAAATACTCATGTACAGAGGTTGAGTAGGGTTATCTTAAAACGGTTTTGGAGTTTCACCATGTCGTTATTGTGTTCGTAACTTTGTCTGTTCATGCCCTCTATGAAAACTGTTCATCTTTACAATAGTTTCCATTGAAAAAGGCTCCAAATTATACCACTTCTTCCTGCTAGCTATTCATAATCCATTTAGTATATGAAGATTATAATTTCATAGCTCCTTTTTAAACATTACAATCACATCAAAATCAATACGTCTTTATATTATGTATTTGTTTTGAGGTACGCTACCATTGAACAGACATGTAATGAAAGCAATTTGTGTATACGTAAGATGGAGATCCTTCATAATTATGTTGTGTAGTGCTGTCTGCAACAGGCAGATGGCTTTTCCCACTGTCATTTGTGTTTTTAGATTCTAAACTGATACAAAGCACCACAGTTTACCACCGACTTCTTCCAGGTCTCTTTTTCGATGATCATGGTACCCAAACTGGATTCATATTCCTTTATTTTTCAAGCATATTAAATAGAAATCATATATATATATATATGTCTTGAAATACTTAACCTCCGATCTAAAAACATCTTTATGATTTCAATATAGGAATATTTGACGTAAGAAACGGTTGTTATATATCCTCTCAAAAACGATCAAGTTTTGGTGGCATCACACTACCTACAAAACGACAACCAATGTCAAAATGTAGGTTAGTTAGATGCCTTCTGCCACGGTTTTATGCTAGCTATAGTTGTCACGTGATTTTCTGGTTTCCATGATCAAATCCCTTTTAATATAATGTAGCAACACTCTGTATGACTAATACGTCTAAAGCAAGCAGAAATCATTATAAATCTATATTTTCTACAGGAAGAAATACAACTCTAATGTTCTAAGGGAATATTGGGACAAGCTGACCGGGAAGAATCTTGAACTAGAAAGGTTAGTCACTCATTCGTATGATTAATTTAATTTAATTGCTAATAACTGATTTTTAGCAAGTGTTTAAATGCTACTTCATTATTTTTTCTTTTATTACAAAGCATTTCTTTTTGTTCATGAAAAAAATTGACTTCAAAAATTCCTTTTCATACAGTTAATATGAAAGAAAGAGATATGTATTTTCTTGTCTTTTATTGTAAGAAACAACACTAAGAAATATTTTGTCAAAAACTTTTTATTTTTATTACGGTTATTTTATAGCTTTTGTTTCTTCTTAAAAACCTTCAAAGATAGGATACATGCACATTGCTAGTTAATTATTACAGCAAAAACTATGACTCTAATGAAATAATATGAAAAAGAACAATGTTAGGAACATGCCCTCTGATGATGATGACTTACTAATATGATATCACCTAGCACTGCAACCATAGCAACGCACTCCTAGTGTTGATGATGTACTCCTATTGTACAACCCAGCAACATGCCTCTGGTGTTCATGAGGTATCTGTACGAATGAGATACAAGTTGGGTCAATGCTTTTGTCACGTCATTACATTTATATTGCAAGTGGGTTATCTTTACTTCTCGTGTTCAGAGTTTCATCACAACTACTCGAATTGTTTTGGTTTTTGTTGTTGTTGTTGTTTTAATTCTGAAAATGTTATTTGCATCAGAATAATTACTGATAGATTTAACGCTTTTTACTTTGTTGGTCTGGTATTGTTTTTACCCTAAAAAGCTTGTTACCGGAACTTAACATTCAAGCCTGAAAAAACCCACTGATATGAGTTATATATGTTAACACCTTAGGAAAATAATCGAAAACTGTTTGTAATCTCGCTGTACTATCCCATCACACCTAGACATCTATTATCATTCAAATAGATTTGATAGCTTGTAAAAGTGTGAGCAAAAATAGTAAGGTTTGTAAATATTTAATGTGTTTTGTTGAGTAAGTAAACACTTTAATAAATATCCATAACACAGAAGTTTATCAGTAACAAAAATGATGACGTAGCATACGAGAAATTTGAAACATTTCAAATGTGTTTATTAAAGACTGGTGTCTATAATATTAAAATAGTATTTGTTATCTTCAGGAAATATTCATCCAAACATCCAGAACGGGAGGAATATACCACAACAAAGATATAGCTGAAAGTGAATTTGCCTGGATGTGAAACAGTTCGAGGCAACTCTCGCCCTAAAGCATAGAGAAGGAAAATTGTGGTTAGAATAATATGTATTAATAACCAAAATCTGATAATCTCATTAAATCATAACTATTTTTCACAACATTATGTTTAGGAGCATTCTGAAACAGCTTATATTTTTTTTCTTCTGATGGCAACAACGTACTGGGAATTTATGTGATCTTCAACTTCCAAGGCGTTTTAATAAGAAACAAAAAACATTATTATTGAAACTTTTCCATTGTTATTTTAACCTTTAAGCCTAACACTGGAGAACTAAATCAATTACATTGAAGTATTTGTAATAATTTTTATGTA